TCTTTTTACTTAGCCCAAGCAAGGAGGTTCTAGGAACTGGAGTGCAGTGATATAATCATAGCTCACTGCAGCACCTAACTCCTGGGTTCAAGTGATCCTTCCCTCTCAGCCTTCTGAATAGTTTGGATGACAAGCAAGAACCACTGCACCTGGCTAACCATTTTTAAGTGTGCAGCCCAGTGACATTAAGGACAATCACATTGTTGTGCAACCATCACCACTATCCATTCAAAGAATATTGTTCATCTTGCAAAACTGAAACTCTATGCCCATATAACAACTCCCATTCCTTCCTCCTGCCATGTTTTTTTTAAAAAGGCGTTTTGAAAACCAATGGTAACTTACCAAGTCATGGACATGGCACATACAGGGAGTAACAGCCACCAGAAATAGTCTCCCTTGTCCGAAAAGACAGCCATGAGTATTCCCACCAGGGTGGCATTGTAGCCATAGAGCCCAGATGCTGTTAATGACCTGCGGGGCAAGAGACACAGCATGGACATTTCCTGGGTGGGCTTCGGTTGCACTTGCACATAAATAACACTAGTAACTTCCAGATCATATTCATATTAAAACATGAAATTATATTTGGAAATGTATCTCAAAGTCTATGTAAGCATCATACAAAAACTAATAAAGACATTAAGTGAAATATACATAGATAAAAATATAAATGTGCATTTAGATCAGCAGTCCCCAACCTTATTGGCCCCAGGGACAGGTTTCATGGAAGACAATTTTCCATGAATGGGGAATGGGGGATGATTTCAGAATGAAACTGTTCCACCTCAGATTATCAGGCATTAGATTCTCATAAGGAGTGAGCAACCTAGATCCCTTGCATGCGCAGTTCATAATGGGGTTCACACTCCTATGAGAATCTAATGCTGCTGCTGATCTGACAGGGGACGGAGCTCAGGTGGTAATGCTCCTCGCCCGCCGCTCACCTGCTGTGCGGCCCAGTTCCCACAGACAGGCCACAGACTGGTACCTGTCTCCAGTGCAGGGGTTGGGGACCCCTGATAGAGAACGACTCCCTCTACAGGTGTCACAGTTAAAGACAGGTCTACAGCGGCTGAGAGGAAAGGGGAGTTTAGCAAGGCAATCTGCTCTATTTTAGCCTTTCCTTTGGAAAGTTATTCTTTTAAATCAAGAGCCTCTGACTTGAATAGCACTTTTAGCATATGAAACTGTTGCCTAAGTTTGATTTCTTGGTGAGAGAGATTCCTGAAATGTAAATTCACTTTCTAGTGTCTTTGATCTTATCAACATTAATCTTCCAGCTTAGTATACATTTTTGTGTTCTGATACTTCTATTTTGTTGTCTCCAAACATACATTTCAAAGTTATTGCAAAGAAGAATGATTGCTTTTCTCTTACTTGGAGAGGTACCCCATTTAATTATGTGCTTGTTGAGCACCCAATTCTTTCTGAGGTTACTTTTTGCTTAGTATTCAATCTCATTTCTTCCCCATCTTCTCCTTCTTTAGATTGAAGGGGTACATGTGCAGGTTTGTTACATAGATATATTGCATAATGCTGACTGAGGTTTGGGCTTCTATTGAATCCGTCACTCAAATAGTGAGCAAAGTACCCGATAGGTAGCTTTTCAACCCTTGTTTCCCTTCCTCTCCTCTGTTGGAGTCCCAGTTGTCTACTATTTCTGTGTCCATGTTTACCCAATGTTTAGCTCCTAATTATAAGTGAAAACATGCAGTATTTGATTTTCTGTTACTACATTAATTCACTTAGGATATTGGCCTCCAGGTGCATCCACGTTGCTGATTTCAATCGTTTTTATGGCTATGTAGTAGTTCATGGTGTATATGTACTACATATTCTTTATATAATCCACTGTTGATGGGTACCTACATTGATTGACCTGACACGCCAGGACTCCCACAACTCAGAGTTGGCAGTGTCTGGCACCATGAAAGGCACAGGATCCACTTCCCAAGGGCCTGTCACTCAAGGGTAATGTCTATAGGGGGAGAGGGGAGTAAAGATGGTGAAGTGAGTGGGTGAGGCCTAATGCTGGGCTCGAATAGGAGTTGCTACAGCCAATGAGCCACACCGCAGGGGCTGGTAAGGGATAGCATGACAGCTGCTTCTGACTTGTTTCTAACTGGGCCAGGAGGCACCATTGCAACAGGCAAGAGGATGTCACGTACATTAATCGGATGAACATTAGAGGTGGGATTCCCTATTCAAAAGTTCTTTGTCTCCCTTAAATAATCCTTGAGGGCAAATGGGAGGTGATGCAATTTGCAATGGTGCAAGCCAGAAACTGGGACTACACATGACAATGGAGAGCTATGCAGACTTGTCCTCTCAACAACTGACTTGGAGATGTTAATGCTTGAGTTTGATCAGTGGAAAATTAATGGCCACATCTACAAGTTGTGGAGTGCCATAGTTAAAGCCACAGGAAGACATATATTTACTTAAAACAGAAGATTACAATTTTAATGCAGTCTTTTCAGACCAAGGAAAGTAAAACATCTGAAACTAACACATATGACTTGTCTTCTAAATGATATCTGATAAAATGTGAGTTGATCATATTTCATTGGAGCAAAATAATAAAGGAATATTCAATATGGCACAATTCTAGACTCTATCCCCAAACTGAGAAGACTTTCTTGGCATGCATTGGAATAGAGTTTAACCTAGGCTATAAAATCCTCTTCTACGGGGAGCAAATCAGACTCTTTGAAATTGATGGAAAAGTGGAGCATTTGCTAGCTCTCTCCCCATGGACCTCTTTAGGCAATTTGCAGTGAGGGTTACAAGAGCTTAGTTGTGTAATGACCACACTTGGGAGTATGCATTGATCCCAGACACCTAGAATACTGGTTCCCTCCCTGAAGGAACTGGCCAGTGGGAAGCTGTCTACTACCCTGGTGAGAGTCAGCTCATCACTTCTTCAATGACAGATCAATTAATAAAGTGCATGCTATTTCTAATCTAATGAATATATCAGAACACCCACTAAGGCTTCTTAAGTCAGAATCCACTTAATTGGAATTTATGGTAAGTCTTTCCTCCAGGAGCTGAGGTGACCTTGGTAATTCTTTTCTCTAGAAGCTGAGCTGACCTTTGCACTGTCTATGAAGAATGAGTTTGCTAAACTCATCATGGCAGCAAGATATAAAGGGTGTTATTAAGCCACTAAAACTTTTCCTGAATTCATATACACTTTTTTCCCAAGTAGAATGCTGATGACAAATAATTTTATCAATCATTAAAGAAGATCCCTTCAGAACCTCTCCAGGGAATTACTTACAGCTTAGTCCTGGTTAGGATGTAATGCCACAAGTATCCGGCATCATTTAGACCAGCCACTTATTCAGATATCAAGAGCAAGAGACTGTAACTGATTCCCTGACCTCTGATTAAAAACAAATATAAAGAGTTCTGTGGACTAAAGGTTGTTTCTTCTGGGAAGGATGTGATTTTATCACTGTTGCCCATAGTAACTTGTCAGCCCCTGTGTCTTAGAAGGGAGCTGAGAAGGCTTGAAGGGGTACACCTACCTGTCCTGGCTGAGCAAGAGGGCCGTCAGAGTGGAGACCACTGTTCCCAGCCAGCCAGTGAGAGCCCACCAGGGGTTCTGAAAAAGAAGTCCCACCAGAATCAGGATTCCACTGATGGGGTTGTTGACGAACACCACTTGGGATATGCCCCGGAGGATCCAGTCAATGAACTGGAGCACCGCAGGTTTGTCTGGAAGGGATGGGGTAAAGCAGAGCTAAGGAAGCAGCCAAGTGAGACTCCTCAACCACAGGCCCACCCCGAGCAAAATCGGCAAAACCTCCTGGAAGTGAAACATTTTTGATATTTCTTTAATATTTCTCTCTGAACCCATTGTCGCTTTAGTGGCACCCAGATTCCTGAAAGCATCTGTCTACTGTATGCTCGACCCACACTGCCCCTCCTAGAATCTAAGCTCCTGAAAGCATCTAATGCGCTTATTTATCATGCTTATAGGCACAAACTCTGAAGCCAAAGGAATGAATCACCAATAGTAAAATTTAAGTTTTAAGTACTGAAACTACAAGATGAAGCCAGGTGTCTTCTCATAGGAGCTGGGCCCTGGCTACTGTCTCCATAAGAAAAAAAAAATGGTGGAGAGGTTTGCAGGTTAAAAGATAAAAAGTAAAAAAAAATATGGTGAGTAAAGAGATCTATAAAAAGTTGGAGAATATGACTAAAGATATAAGTAGAAGTACCAGGAAACCATTTCCCCCAAAGCTACTTCTCCTGCCTCTCCAAAAAGATGAAAGGATAAATACCTTTAAGCCAGTTGGCAAGTTCTTTCATATCGCCGGTGACGTAGCCAAGAGCTTTGGGGAAGCACCTTCTCCCTTTACATGGTGAAACCTGGTTTTCACCCAGGTCCACTCTAACCATAGTGGGGCTGTCCTCCATGGCCGTCTCTTCCTCTGGCTCCTTGAGGGAAGGACAGAGCTTATAAGTATCCCAAGGCAGCGCCCTCCGGATCAGCCAGCCTTGGGCCTGGTTACAGTAGAAGATCTGGACCACTGTGTTCCATAGAACTAAGAGAGCACCGTTTTCCTCCTGAAACACCACCACAGAGCTTATTACCGAAGCTCAAATCCCACTGTACCTTTGCCATCAGTGTCTCTAATGCTACCATGGAAAGGTTCTGGTCTTTAATTTCATAAGGTTCAGTGTCTGGTCCAACAAACATTTACTGAGCACGTATTTCCTGCACTTAAGGAGCTCAGTCTAGTTGAGAAGACTGAAAAACAGTTAATGTCAACAGAATGAGTCAAATCATGTAGAAAGAGCTAAAATTAAGTGCGTTAGCTCCATGCTGTCATTTAAGGAGTAAGAAATCGGGTTATGGAATGGCCTGCTCACCAATGCGGGCTGAGCAGCTACTTGCCAAGACAGGTAGCCTTTTTAAATTTTCATTTTACAAAATTTTGTTTTTAAAATATTGAAAGGGAAGAATGTTTAAAAATTGTGTGAGTTGACATGGCCTCCCCACCCTCTGCAAGTCCAAGATTGCTTGAATTTGTCCTTATGTCATGTGACTGTCTCAGATACTCTTTACTTTTGGAATTCGTTATTTAAATGTGTAAAACCAGGCAAGAAGGATATTTCACCAAGATAGAGAAACTGGGAAAGATGGAATTGGACAAAGCTGTTGAAAACCAAAGAGTTGTAATCTAAGGATTGTATGATAGAAAAATGTACAGGGCAAAATTATAGGAAACATGTCTCTGGAACATATGAACACTATAACCATGACTGTGTTCACTATGGGACCATTCACTTGTCATGATAAGTATCTGCAAGAAAGCACCAATATCACCAGAATTTGGTACCTTGAAGACAAAAATGATTTCATTGTGCTGATAGTAGATGCAAAAGAATACCAGTGGCATAATCCCAGAGGCAGGCTGAGGGAGGAAGCCAATGGCAAAACCACCTTGAGTGTGCAAGAACAGTCAACAGCACAGCCAGGTCAATTGGGAAGCAGGGAAACGCCAAAATCATCAGACCCTGGAAGGCATAATTGTGAAATGTTGAAGCCACAGCCACATAAGACATGACCAAAGAAACACTGCATGCCTCTGCTGCAGTGACCCATTTTCAAAGCCATACCAACTTATGGGAGGCATCAGGCTTCAGCTCAGGCAAGGACAAGCAGCCCAAAGACATAACTGCCTTGAGTTTCTGGAACTGAATCTATAAAACCCTAAGGTGGCAGCATCAAATGAAAACACTGAAGCAGCATTTTCCATCAACTGCCAAAGCAGGAACATGGGCTATTTCAGAATAAACAAATTCATGTTCTCAAAATTCTCAGCATATATTTGTTCTAGAGGGCTTGAAATAGCCCATGACCTCAGATTTTGGAGATACAGATTTGAAACCTGATAATATAACTGGCCAGACGTGATTGAGAACCTGAATGGCCTGAGTCTCCTGTTGAGCCACCCAGAGTTAAGTAAAGATTAAACTAGTTTTCTCCAAATCAACAGCCCAACATATAGGAGACTTATTGCCATTTGTGAATCTAATTTCAACATAATTGGGATGGGTTGTAGGGCTAGGATGTTCTGTAGAGAGGGGTCTTCTCATGACCTGAGCAGACAGTTGCTGCTATTTTGGAGTCCCCAGGAACCATTTATTCTGAACTGCTTAACCCTTCTGGAGCCCCTAGGAGCCCTGACTACTTGTTCCAGAAGTCAGGAATGAGAACCACTTAGGAGAAATCCATAACTTACAGTTGTAGTTTGCCCTAGAATTTTGCCATGCTAGAATATTTGCATTTCTTAGGGAACTTTAACAGTCCACACATCCTAACTGGGAAGACAAGGCAAGGCTATGGAGCCAGGACCTTCTACTGATATTCAAACATCTTAGACCCAGTGAAGTAGGCCATTAATTTCAACTAAGAAGAAGGGACAATAAATAAAAGGCACTCTAATAAAATAGACGCAGGGTAAATGTAAAACTCCAGGTGACTTCTCCCCCAGCTCTTCCTTGGCTGTCAAAACTCGGCTCAATGGTCCAGTCTCTAAACCAAGGTGAGCACTGTCGGACTTTTTGGACCAAGATCCCTGTGCCTTTGACTCAGCTCACAGCCAACCCCCACTTCCCAGGATCTGCCCAGAAAAGATACACCAGAGTTTGGAGTAGGCTCCCAGGTCCCCCGAGCCAGAGGCTGCATGAAGGAAGCATACCTGTTCCTGCGACCCATCTGCCAGGGCCAAGTTTAGCCGGGTGATGCCTCTGCGCGCTGCTTCACCAGCTTTAGTTGCAAAAGGGTCCTTCCAAACAGGACCATGACAGGCATCACCAGCGCCGCCAATCAAAGACCGTCCATTCATCCTTACTTTTTCTCAATACATGACAAAGGGCAAAAGTATGTGAATCAGCACGACATGTGCCCTAGCTCTAATGACCACGCAAAAGGCAAGCTGAGCAGGGCTGGAGCGTGCCCAGTGGGTTCCTGGTGAGGGAAGATGTGACCCCACACGGGAGACCTCTAACAGAGGGGGAGGACTTTGCCTTCACCAAAGTGCTCTCAGTGGGCGGAGACACAACCAGCTGACTATGGAAATTAAATGTTCATTTACTTTGCTTAAAAAAACGAAATGGGAAGTCATCCTACACAGGGACCAATGACCAGATTTTGTTCTGCTGCGTGTCTCTGCTGTTGGATCTGAAGCCGCCTCTTCCAGAGGGGGAGGAGGGGGTTCACATTCTGACATATTTGGGGGCAGGTTGTGAGGGCTGCATCTTGAGGACCAACACCAAAGCAACAGGTTGCCCCACAGCAGGTTCCCCTGGCCTTGTTTATGAAATGTGAGAAGGATACATGATGTGGGCTCTATTTTCTGTAGTAAGATAATAGCCACGCTTTGTATGCATTCACAAGCCTGCTTTAAGAGACTCTTAAATGGTGTGTTTTTTTTTGTTTGTTTGTTTTCTGTGCTACCACATCCAATTTATTTTATTTTATTTTTATTTTTCCTTTTTGCAGAGACAAAGTCTCATTGTATTGTCCAGGCTGGTTTTGAATTCCTGGCCTGAAGCGATCCTCCCACCTCAGCCTCCCAAAGCACTAGGATTATAGGCATAAGTCATCATGCCAGGCCAGGAACTCTTAAATTTTGAATATCACTTTGTTAATAATAAACAGTTTTTAGTTGAATTCCACAAGTGTGGCAGCTTTTTATAAATTTTCTTTTTCCTTTTTAAAACTTCCATTGCATCCAAGAATATCACTCCTTTTCCAGAAGTTCTGAAACAGTTGTGTGTGTGGTATTTCTCTTTTTCTCCCCCTGTTGTTTATTCTATTTTTACTTTCTTCTACTGGCTTGGCCTGAAACCTGAAAACCTACCCTTTACCAGAGTGACTTGGAAAAATCCAGTGTTGGGAAATACTTCTGACATGTCTCAGGTAAAAACTGTGTATGTGCATGCGTGTGTGTGTATTTACCTGTGTATGTGCATATGCGTGTGTGTGTATTTACCTGTGTATGTGCATATGCATGTGTGTGTATTTACCTGTGGTGAACTAGCTGGCTAGTTCTGCACCACACTGATGTGCCTGCGTGTTGCATTATGAATATTTTTATTTGATAAAGAACAAATGGTTAAGAAACCCAGTGGTAGGGATCTCATGTTATATAAAGCTAAAAACAAAGAAGAAAGAGTGAAGAATGAAAAAAGAGACAAGCAGGGGTTGTCACATTCTCTCAGTGTGGACGCCTTCCCTTTCTGCCCCTGCCTGGCGCCTGCCTTTCCCCTACCACCAATATCACACACCTTGGAGAACCCCTTCATTGAGCTCAACAACAATATTTTCCTAGAACCAAGAGATAGGGAAATTTGAGAGCTAGGTGGGATTTTAGAGACCACATAGTTCAAGCCTTCATTTTATATAAGAGAAAACCGAGGTTCAGAGTGGGCACCATCCAAATTCACTCAGCGCGTGGCAGGCAGAGTGGGTCTTACGGAATAGGTCAGCTCTGGTTCTCAATTTTTCAGTCGAGCCAGGCACATTAATGCCACCCAAGGTTCTGTTCAAGTCGACAAACAAGTGAAGCAGCAGTTTCGGTGTGCTGGAGTAGGCAGTGGGGGCTAGGACTCAGCGATGCGGTGGGCACAGACTATCTTCACGGTCACTTTGAACTAATCTTCACGTGGGGGTTGAACAACCACAAAGAAAGAGCTCTGCTATCCCCACTTTCACTCTACGCTCTTGTCAGAAGCAGTTACTCTCTGACAAATGTCTCCCTGTGCCTCAAAGCTGGCACATCTACAGCAAGGCTTGTGTGTGCTGAAGTTAACATCCCAAGAATATCCTGGAAGCTGCACCTGAAGAGCTTTCCAGCAGAAGTCAAAAAGCGCTTTTCATATCCCAGGTCACTAGTGAAATGAAGCAGTGCTTAGCATTTGTAATACAAGGCAATATCAAGATTTCAATTCAACTAATATCCTCTATTTTATTACACAAAATAAAATACATTCTATTGCCAGCATGTACTAGAACTTTGTGCAATTGGAGAGACCTGAAGTCTTCAATTTTCCATGCTTCAGCTATTACTTTTAAAAATAATATGAAGTGTTGGATATGGATATAGAAGAAAGCATTTAAACCCTCATGCTCTAGCATAATAAAGAGACTCTCAGCATTGACACTTATTTGGTACTTACTATAATCTTTATTTTATGTAGTTTTTGATTTTAAGTAGCAGGAGATGCCCAGTTTTCCTTAAAGCTGTAATTGGAAACAAAGAAAATGCTGTCAGATATTCCTGTATCCTGGTTAAAACTCTTCCCTCCTCAGAAAACGCTACTCCCAGAAGTCTTGATTGCAGACACCAGAGAGTGCAGCTGCAAGGAAGCTGCCAAATTTGTGGCTTCAGTTGTGACTGACTCGTTCTCCCGATGGGTGCACAAGAACATTCCCTTCAGCATGACAGCACATGCAGAGGAGCACATAAATCCATCACTGGAAAGGGCCATTCCCAGTGGCCCACTTTTTTCTTTTGAGTCACGTAGACACTTGTCTCAAACTTATTTCAAGAACACAGCCTGAATTATGATTTCAAGAACACAGCCTGAAACTCCTAACGGTGTTGATTCGCTCAGACTCATTGAGCACACTGGGTGGACACCTCCCTGCAAACCTGCTTCCACATCAACTCAGGTGCTGCATGCACCTTGCTTCAGAAATCACGAATAAAGGCCTGCCTTTGAGCTTCCAGGAGGAAGCTGTGGCTTTGGTAAATATCTTTCTAGTCTACCAGAACTCTGATTTTGCTGCTCCTCATCAATTCTGGTGATATAAAACATTTTCTTCTAAAGAAAAAGAGAAAAAGAGCAAGACTTAGAACTGTGAAGACAAGCCCCAAATGATGAATAGTTGGAAATGAATAGAAATGAGGATGGGTACTTACACCACTCTAGCTGGCTTCCCGGCAGCAGAAGGCAGTGGCTGATAAAGATTTGCCTGGCTCCACGACAAGGGAGAGTGCTTCTCAGGAGATGGTGCTGAAGGGAGGCACCTAACAGTTATATACCCAGAGCCCCGCTCTGCTCTGTGTGTTTGTGGGCTCGGCTTTCTCCTCCCACTTCAGGCATCAATGCCAAAGCAACACTAAGGAACTGGTCCCCTGGCTTCAGTAACTGATGTCTCTCTCTCTCTCTGTTCTTGACATGGCGCCAACTGGTTTGCCACTGTTTCCACAGCATTCCAGGGTCTTTGACCAGCAATAATCCTACAAAAATACATCTTTTTCTTCTCCTGTTTCCTCTGGCCCCTACTCATATTTTTGGAAATATTTACAACTGGAAAGGATCAACACAGTGTCAAACTAAAAACCATGGGGCAGGTTGCTGCTGTGTGGACTCGGAAGCTAAGCGACTGCTCCTGGGGTGAAATTTTCCTAGACTTGACACAACTTCCACACAGATGTAAGACTCCAGCAAGGGCCTGAGGGGCTGTTGGGAGGGTGGGGAAGACAAGGTACGTGCAAGTTGTTTTCTGAAAGTCAGCTGCCCTTTTTCCCAGGGAGGAGAAAACAAAAATGTGTTTCCCTGGAATATCCCTCTCCCCAGGTGAGAATTCTTGGACATACTCTGCTACCTCTTTAAAAGTCAGGAAGCAAACATTCCATAGCAGGGAAATCTAAAACTGAATTAAAATATCTCCTCCTTACCCCTTCTTTTTAAATTTCAATTTTGTGGCTTGTTCTGTTATGGCAAAAATCTAACTCATATGTACTTTTATGAGCACAGAATTTAAAATGTATTTATATATGTATGATCCCACAACCAGTCATGCAGATGTCATAGGTCTTCTTTCGTCTGGGTCTCCCGCCTGCTTGGATGTGCAGATAATACTTATCAGCCTTCGGCAAGGTGGCCCGTGGCTGGGAGCTCTCTGGCTCCACCCGCTGGACACCCGCCAGACCGCAGGGTTCTTGTCTGCTTGGGACATCCTTCCTCCAAGTGCCTCCTGAGCAGCTCAGGCAGAGTGTGTATAGGTCTAGGTTTATAATAAGAGTTTTGAGGTTCAGGCAAGTCTCCTTCCAACATTTTTTCCTTGGTAAAATAAAGAGAAAATAAGCTGCTAGGGTTTCCCTGAAGGAGAAAAATGAATCACCAGGAGACAGTGTGAGTGGCCTGCTTTGGGAATGAAAGGAATCATACTAGTGTCTCCATGACTTCCTTATGCGAATGGGCCACTGTCCCTGATAGAAATAATCATGATAATGATAGTAATGAGAATAATAACTGCCACAAATGGTTGAGCATTCGCAAAAATCCTATATTATACTATTGTCCCCATTTTGTAGATGAGCAAACTGAGGCTCAGAGTTTAAATAACTTGCTCAAAGTCTGACTCAAATTTTATACTTTTTTTTTTCAAATTTTGTACTTTTAAACACTCTAGTGCTGTCCAATATTTCCAACTTCTGCCTGTATGTTTGCTTTTCATTAATGCCTTCACTCAACTTGGCCATGATGCATATTTATGAACCTCGTCCTGAAGCTGCCTCCACATGACACCCATGCAGCCTTCTGCCTCAGTGGCACTGGTCAGGGCTGAGGGTGTGTAGTGAGTCTCAGGTCTTCTTGGAAAAACCACCTCCTTCTGTACGCACCCTCCCTCCCTGGCCTTTTTCCTGGTCCCTGTAGAGCCACACTTTAAGCGGGGGTCACAAAATATAGCCTTGCCATATTGTATGCACAAGGCAGTGCAAGTCACATGGAATTCCAAGTCAGATAAACCCGAGTTTGAATACTGGCTTTTCTCTGTCAAGCTGTATGACCTCAGGCATGTTACTCACTGTTTCTGAGCCTCAGATTCCTCAGTGTAAAGTGGGGTAACTTTACCTCCTTTATAATGTTGTGATGAGGGATGACATCTTTAACGCACCATGCTGATGTCTGCCCCTCTCAGTCAGCACTGGTTACCTTGCGGATTTCCAAATGGAACCTTCCTCCTGGCTTGAATAAGGGGACACGCTGCTCTCTGCTTTGATATTAGAAGGGGTGCAGTTATGAGTACAGAGGAAACCATTCACTTCATTCAAGAACTGTGAACTAGGTAACTTTCTGATGCAAGACATGCATATCTGTGTTCTCGGTGCTTTTAAGCAGCCTAATTTTTCATACAATGACCTTTTCCCTGTTCTTTCTACAGCAGCTCCTTTATTATTTCCAGAGAGTCGTTTGCTGAGTGTTTATGCCCTAACATTGTCCTTCCTTGGTCTTTCCCTTGCATCTCCTCTTTGGGTGCCCCTCTCTGTTCCCATACCACGTGAATGCACCTTCCATCTCTCTGCCTGGAACAATCACAAATGAACATACATAAAGCTGCTCTCCTCTACGACTTTCTCCTTGGAGTTTCTGCCCCTAGGATGTTTTCTCTCTCCTCCCCCTCCCCATGCTCTGCCCAAATCTATTTGGATTTCCCAGTGGGCTTCTGTGCACTTAAAGCAGTTTCCGTCTCTATTCCTCACTGGGCATGAAATCATGCCCCCCAGCTCTGCAACAGTTCTGGTACTGTCTTTTATTATTATTTTTAAATATATCTTACGATGCACAGTCCCATCCGAGCCAGAAAGTACAGGATGATGAAGTCAGGATCCAATAGCTCTCTTTGTTCATAATGGACCTCTCTCTTTCCAGAAAGATTTTGAGGCAGTTCATCAAATATATGTAAGAGGACCTAAGGACTAGGTGACAAAATGGAGTAAGGAGAATGCAACTATGGATAAAACACAATGTTGTTGTTTTTTTTTTTTTTTTTTTTTTTTTGAGACGGAGTCTCACTCTGTCCCAGGTGCTGGAGTGCAGTGGCCAGATCTCAGCTCACTGCAAGCTCCACCTCCCGGGTTCACGCCATTCTCCTGCCTCAGCCTCCCGAGTAACTGGGACTACAGGTGCCCGCCACCTCGCCCGGCTAGTTTTTTTTTGTATTTTTTTAGTAGAGACGAGGTTTCACCGGGTTAGCCAGGATGGTCTCGATCTCCTGACCTCGTGATTCGCCTGTCTCGGCCTCCCAAAGTGCTGGGATTACAGGATAAAACACAATTTTCATATTTTTTCTACAATACCTTGCATTTGTAGGTGTTTCTAAATTTGTGTTGTTTTAATCTGAAATTATAGCACTGTTTCACTAGATTGCTGCTTGATACTGATCTACGCATAGGCAATTTAATGTTACAAATAATTGGCACCTCAAGGGTATGTAATTAGGCAGTGCCCACACTGAGGAATTCTACAAGACATTCTCATGCTTTTATGTCCCCTCACCCCCCGCAAGGAGAGTGGCAAGGATTGCAAGTCTGGAACAGAATGTTCCTTTGCAGTGTGTTCTGAGCCCACTGACTTCTTTGGTTTGGCAAACAGTCAGACAAAAAGGCGCCAGACGAGAGCCAAAACTTCCAGAACGACACTTGGAGGGGATGTTTTGTGGTAGGCATACCCTAGAGTGAAGCCAAGGGCCAAGCCAGCGCAGAGTACAAAAGTCTCACTCAAACCTCCACCGCCTGCCGTTGCTGGGGGAACACGATGGGTGATGAAAGGAGGCACTGAGGTCCCTAAGTTTTTAGCTCCCTTTAAATGCAGTCCTGAAATTATTTCATCCATTTTAGAAGTAAAAGGGGTTCAATAGCTGGGAGCATCCAAAGATGTTGTTCCTCCTTCACAAAGCAGAGGGTCCAGGTAGTCTCCATCCCTACCTACAACTTTCATCAGATGCCCACCTGTCATCTTTCCATCTTTTAAATTAAAATCATACTAGTGTAAGGCTCATAATGTGGTCTCTGGTGTCATGGGCCAATGTGTAAGGGTGTGCAGGTTGTGCACTGCACAAATGCACCACGCCTAAGGGGGTCACTATTAGTGTTCTAGACATTTATGTGTTTATTGCAACAAAGTTCTTGCAGATGGCACTAAAATGTCTTGAGAAAAGGGGTGCTAGTGTGTCTGTGCAAGGAGCCATATTGTCTAGCAATACCTTTAGCTTTTAAAAATTTTCATTTTTGTTTTTTTTTTTTTGAACACTGAGAAGCTAGCTTTTGTTTCTTCTTTTTTTTTTTTTTTTTTTTTATGAGTACAGAGGAAACCATTCACTTCATTCAAGAACTGTGAACTAGGTAACTTTCTGATGCAAGACATGCATATCTGTGTTCTCGGTGCTTTTAAGCAGCCTAATTTTTCATACAATGACCTTTTCCCTGTTCTTTCTACAGCAGCTCCTTTATTATTTCCAGAGAGTCGTTTGCTGAGTGTTTATGCCCTAACATTGTCCTTCCTTGGTCTTTCCCTTGCATCTCCTCTTTGGGTGCCCCTCTCTGTTCCCATACCACGTGAATGCACCTTCCATCTCTCTGCCTGGAACAATCACAAATGAACATACATAAAGCTGCTCTCCTCTACGACTTTCTCCTTGGAGTTTCTGCCCCTAGGATGTTTTCTCTCTCCTCCCCCTCCCCATGCTCTGCCCAAATCTATTTGGATTTCCCAGTGGGCTTCTGTGCACTTAAAGCAGTTTCCGTCTCTATTCCTCACTGGGCATGAAATCATGCCCCCCAGCTCTGCAACAGTTCTGGTACTGTCTTTTATTATTATTTTTAAATATATCTTACGATGCACAGTCCCATCCGAGCCAGAAAGTACAGGATGATGAAGTCAGGATCCAATAGCTCTCTTTGTTCATAATGGACCTCTCTCTTTCCAGAAAGATTTTGAGGCAGTTCATCAAATATATGTAAGAGGAC